ACAATGTAGTTAGTTATTGTGTCCCATCACCAAAACCTCCCTCCCTCCTCCCTCTCCCCCCTCCCCCCCAAGTATGTCCCCTCCATTTGCTTGTTTTAAGAACTTCAAAAAAAAATTGTGGTTGTTATATCTTCCTCTCCCCCCCCCCGATTTTTTTTTTTGTTGTTGTTGTTGTTTGTTTGTTTGTTTTGTGTGCGTGTGAGAGTGTGTGTGTGTGTGTGTATGTGTGTGAATTGATTCATTCACCTTTAGCTCCCTCCAATAAGTGAAAACATGTGGTATTTCTTTTTCTCTGTGTTTTAGTGAAATATAATACAAGTCATAAACAATGTTGCTATGAACATTCTCGTTCATGTCTCTTCGTGTACATGTATACGCCACCTCTTAAGTATATACATAACGGTGAAGTTAATGGGTCATAAGTTGTCAGTCTTTTTTTTTTTTTTTTTTTTTTTTTTTTTTTTTTTTTTTGCCGCGGGTTCGGATCCTATATAGGGATGACCAGTGCACTCACTGGCTGAGCACGGTGCGGCTGGTCTCAAAAAGAAAAAAAAAAAACCCAAATACATAATTATTCTTTGTATGCATTACCCAATCTCTATTAAAAATGCCATCCTTTTTTTTTTTTACTTCAAATCTATTTTTCTGTTATTTCTTTCTACTGGTTCTAGTTTGTGTGCGTGTGTGTAGGCGGGTATGTGTTGGAGTTAATACTGAGTAGTGCTAATCACTACTATGGCTCAGCCCTTGAAATATTTGATGGCATCTCTTCTATCCAGTCTGTCTTCTCTTCTCGACTAAATATTTTCAAATTACCTCAACTATTCACTTATATTACACTGATATGGCTCAGATTTCTAATGCTTTCACATAAATAATTTCAATTTATTCTCAAGGTAACCTTGTGAGATAGGTAAGAATTTGTAAAACTGTACATTTAAAATGACAAACTGAGGTGCAAAGATATTGTTTGGAAGAGAACTGATACCCAGCTGCTTTTTATGTTGTAAGTTTTCCATTGCCATCTATTGTTTTATAAAAAAATTATTGTAAGAAAGAAAAAGTTTTATCTTAGATGTAATTTGAGGTCAGAAAAGTCAGTCTTTAAAAAAATGTTTTTATTATGAAATATACATATAGAAAAGTATGCAAAACAGACATGTACAGCTGAGTGATTTATCATTATGTAGGTCTAGAAAGAGTCCATAGTCAGCATTCCAGAATCCTCCTGCTCCCAAAGGTAACTACTACCCTGTCTTTTATGATCATCACTTCCATTAAGAAGAAAATCACTATCCATAGAGTGAGAAAAGATAAACAGAGCACTTATATCCAGAATATATAAAGAACAATAAAACAATAAGGAAAAGCAGACTTCCCAGTAGTCAGACACCTTATTGAACAGATATGTAACAAACGAAGGTATCCTAATGGTTAATAAACACCTGACACAGTGCTCAATCTCTTTAGTCATCAGGGAAATGCAAATTTAAACCACAATGTAATACCATTATGCTCCCACCACAGTAGCTAAAATTAAGAAGACTGACAGTGACCACAGTGACAAGTGATGGTGAGGATGGGGAGCGCCATGAGCTCTCATATTGCTGCTGATGGGAGTATAAATTGGTACAATATCCTTGGAAAACATTTTAGTCTTATTTGTCAAGGCATATGTAGACCATGTGAAGAAACAATTCTCCTCCTGAGAAAACACCCAATAGAAATCCTTGGCTGATTTACCAGGACCCATGTATTAATGCTCACTGTAGCGTTATTTGTAACAGCCAGAAACTGGAAATAATGAAAATGTCCATCAGTAACAGGATGGATAAATAAATTGAACATAATATTGAGTGAAAGAAGCCAGACACAAAAGAATTTATTTTGTTTGTTTCAATCTATATGAAGTTTTAAGACAGGGGCAACAAATCTGTATTGTACAGGGGTGTGCGTGCATGGGTGGTAAAACTAAGAGCAAAGCAAGGCAGTGCTTACCGGTAGGAGCAGGATGGTGGTTTCTTTGATTGTGGGGAGGGAGAGAAGGAGGCACGAGAAAGGCTTCTGGGCAAGGAGCTGGCAGTGTTCTCTTTCCAGACCAGGGTGGGAATTAGGTAGGTACTTGCTTTGAATAATTACTTAAGCTGAATATTTACATTTCATGTGTTTTTCTGCATGAATATTATATTTCATAATAAAAACTTCTGAAAATGAGAAAAAGTATGTACCCTGCAATTTTGACCCCAGTAGCGCATATACCCTTTCTGAAGGCATCTACAGATGGTCTGTTCATATAAACATGCGTGCGTATGCACACACACCTGTATCCATCTTTAAACTGAAATGTTAGCATACAAAACTTCCAACACTTGCTTTCCTCACTTAATCTTGGTGATCATTCAGTGTTAGTACATGTAATGAATTATCTCATTCCCGTTAAAGGCTGAATCTTATTCCATTATATGGATATATCAGAATATACTAACCAGTCCTCTATTAATAGACTT